CCATAATGATTTAAAAAATTAAAAAAATAAAAATTAACAAATTAAAAATTAACTCAGTTTTATATCATGATTTTCACAATTTAAAAATTAATTATGGTTATGAGAAGTTTACGTTCACGTGTTAATCCTATTTATCTTCAATTTTTTCTTTTGTTGTGTTTTTTTTTTATATTTTGGTTATTACTAGATATAAATATTGATTTTGAAGTTTATTCTCATTTCCTTTATTTGTTTTGACATGAGATTTAGAAAATACTTAAGATTTAAAATAATTAGATACATACTTAGGTTAAGATCTGAACTTTATGCACAATAAGTATTTTATATTTATAATTTATTTTATAATTTTCTGCATATCATAAAATAATAAAATAATAAATACATATATTACATAACTAAGAAATCAGTCACTATTATGTAATAAATTGACGTATGCATATAAATTTAACTATCACTCTTGTTTATTCGCAATTAGCGTAAATAAATCAAAATAATCAATCTTATATATTGTATATGATATATAATTAAATTTAAATGATATAAACATAGTAATATGGCACACTTTTAATATTGTTATTTATTAAATGAGGTTTCTACTCATATGATTTTATGATTATTTGCATATTTGTGTAACAAAACTTTACACCAAATTTTTTTTAATGTGTGATGTTTAGTGGTTTTAATAATTTATAATCATTTTTTTAAAAAAATAACATATTTCAAAATTAAAATATTAACTTTTCAATATATGTTGAAGACAATCAAAATATAAGTATGTATTTTAATACGATTTATAGTTTAATTAAAGCGATATGAAATATATATATAAACTAAAATTATTTCTTCATATGGTCTTATAATCATTATATTTTAATATAGAACACAAATTAAAATCTTGATCCTAAAAGTTATGTGAGACTTTTAACAATTTTAGTAATTTATACTCATTTTCAAAAATTCGAAATACAACATACACAAAAATATAGATTTTTATTATATGATTAATATAATTATGTAATTTATTTTAATAATAAATAAATAAACAAAATGAGAAAAAGTATACAGATTGTTATCAAATCTTTATTGTTTAAATCATTAATTGTCATATATATTTTAATCACATTAGGTAATTCCGTATGTTTTATTTAAGGAAAGCATGCGAAACAATAAATATTTGATATATGCGACCAAGTATAGTCTACGAAATATTATATTGCTAGAGAATATAATTTTTAGACTATACATTATATCACATGCTCTAGAATCCTTGGGATTTGAAATAGAAGCCAAATAGCTATGCCACATAGGATTGAGGTTATTTTTAATTCTTATAAACTTAAGGTTACAACTTTTTAAATGATTCTCAAATAATATATAGGGGATTTTAAAACTATACAATTTTATTAGAAAAATTTTAAAAATGTATAGCTTTTTTGAAAATTATTAAAATTTAATCCTAAAATTATTAATTTCTTATATATTTAAAATTTTGAAAAATATTGTCTAATTTTAATTTTTGATAATTATAAAATTTTATACAAATTTATTTAATATATTTAATTAAAATAAATAGATAAAAAATTGTCTAAGATAATAATTTTAAATATATACATGCATATTCTTATGTATTATTTAAAATAAACAAAATTATTTTTTATATTACTTTTTATGTTTGATTAAACAAAAATTTGTATTAAAATAGTGATAAGAAAAAGAACTCATAAATTATCATTAAGATAATAAATAATATAATAGTAAAAATATACATATAATAATATTAAAAATATTGATATTTTTAAGTGTAATGTTTTAATTATATATATTTTATTAATAAATTTTGTTTTTCAAAATTTTATGCAGTATTTTTCAAAATTAAAATTTCTAATCCCAATACCATTAGCTTCATTTATAACATCTATAAATTTTAAAAGTATTATTTAGTTTTATATTTTGCTAATTATATATGTAACAATTTTTTCTCTTAATAGTATAGAATCTGATTTACTATAATTTAACCAAAAGATAAAAGATACATATATATTATTAAATATAAATTTAAGAAATTTTTTTTAAGATAGACCTAAAAAAAATTTTAATCACAAATATAGACCTTAAAATAAAAATGACCAAGATAGAATTAAATATTTTATCAAAAATAAGTAAATATACACTTATATCCTCTGGATTAACTAATCGCAAACCTTTGTGTTTAAATTTGTGGAGTGGGGTTCTGGGGATAGGATTACAATTTTTTTTTTTAAAAAAAAATTGAATTTTCAAAATATAAAATGTTGTTTTGGTCATTTTCGTTTTAAGATCTATTTTTTGTGAAAAAACCTAAAAAAATTCTATTTGAGAGAATTGTCATATATTTAAATAAAACTGTTTATTTTCTCTTAATTTTTACATATAATTAAGAGAAAATGACTATAATAGCACAAAAATAGTTTTTGTCACATATATAGCATTTGAGAATAAAAATGACTAAAATAACACTTAATGTTTTATTAAATATATATTTTTACCCCCTGGGTTAACTAATCCTAAACTTTTTTTGTTTAGAGTTGAGGAGTGGAGGTTTTGGGGATAGAGTTTCAAATTTAAAAAATACAAAAAAACTTAAAATTTTCAAAATAAAAAGTTTTATTTTCGTTATTTTAATTTTTGAGATCTATTTTTGTGATAAAAACTTAAAAGAGTGCTATTTGAGAGAATTGCCCCTATAATTAATATAAAATTAATAATGTAATAAAATAATAAATTTAAAAATTAATTAAATTTTATTTTTAAATATAAATTTATTTTTAAAATTTTTCTTTCTGCACATGGTGCATGAAGCCATCTAGTTTATATATTAAATTGAGGTATTGCAAAAGAAAACTCATGTGTATATTTTCGTTCATAGATTGCATTTCCTGAAAGTTCCATATTCATGCAAGAAAGTAAGCATATTCATTCCTTTGAAATTTCCCGGCATGTGAGTGGGGTTTAGACTATTTAAAACTTTTTTTTTGTCGACATTAAAACTAATATACTAAGACGGTACATATATTATAATTATATATAAAGGACTTCTTATACATATCGCGCGTTTTTTCTTATTATATTTGATATCTGATGCCAAATTTCTTTTAATATACCACCATATCTTTCGTTTATTCGGTTCGCCTGAGAAAGGACGAATTCACGCTTAATCTATATTATGATAATACATGCTACACAACGTGTCACATCAACAGTCACATCAACAGTTTTGTGGGTTCTGTAGGTATTTTTAAAAAACTTATAATCTTGGTAAAATGATTACAAACAATGAAATACACTTTAGCCAAGTGGCATGAAGTGTCTAATTAAGCATGCAAGATCGTGGGTTCAAACCAAGCAGCCATCATTTATTTTTGATTTTTTTATTTGAGTTATTATCATATGGGTTTTTATTTGTAAGGTTTTTATGTTTTTTATGGCTTATTTGGATAAACCCTAAAGTTTAACGAGTACAAACCAAAAATAGATGCAAAAACAAACAATAAAAAAACAAAAAAAAAAGCAAGTCTCATGCGGTTGCCTACGCAGGATGGCTTAAAGAGCCTTAAAACTATCCTATTATAATATAGTTCAACCCAAATATAATAAAAAATGAATCCAAAAACGAACGGACCAAAAAAAAAAAAGTGAATCCCACGCGACTACCTACGTAGATGGCTTAATGAGGCTTGAATAATATAGATTAAGAGCTCAAAAAGTGAAATCATTGCACATATTTCCTAATATATATTTTCAAAAAAATTGTATGTGAGATAAAATAAAAAAACAACAATAATTAATTATTTTCCTTATTTATTTAATGAATATGTAATTTCTCTTACATTTTAATAACTACTATAATTTCATTGAAAACATTCCTCACCACTGATTTCCGACTCCGGCGAATGGATTCCCAAGTCGATGACGCCGTAAATAAAAATGCCACATCATTTATGAACAAAACTCAAACTTACAAAAAACATATATAAAACCTATCTAATGAAACTTAAACAACGAATGTTAACTTAATTAAGGTTATTTTCAAATTGATAAATCGTTTAATACAAATATAAATAATATAAATATAGAATTATATCAAGTTTTGACCTACGATATAAAAACTATTTACAGCAAAAAAAAAACACCTACTTTTACACACTAAAAACTGTATTATAGCATAACTATTCCTATAAGCCTTACTTCGCATATAAATAACATTTAACTCATTCCTAATATATCTTCAATAAATTTGTATGTGAAATAAAATAAAATAAACAACAAAATTTAAGTATTTTTCATTATTTATTAAATGAATATATAATTTCTCTTACATTTTAATAACTACTATAATTTCATTGAAAACATTCCTCACCACTGACTCCAAACTTCGGCGAATGGATTCCCACAGTTGATGACGCCGTAGATAAAAATACCACATCATTTATGAACAAAACCCAAACTTACAAAAAAACATATATAAAAACCTATCTAATGAAACTTAAACAACGAATATTAACTTAATTAAGGTTATTTTTAAATTGATAAATCGTTTAATACAAATATAAATACTATAAATATAGAATTATATCAAGTTTTTTGACATACGATATAAAAACTATTTACAGCAAAAAAAAATAGACACCTACTTTTACACACTAAAAACTATATTATAACATAATTGTTCATATAAACCTTACTTCACATATAAATAACATTTAACACATTAGATATACAATGTTTTCACTTTACACTCTTACAACATTCTTTCCATTTCATTATTATTTGGTGTCATTAAAAGAATCTAATCCACTAAACTACTAAATCGAAAAAAATATACGCAAAGATAATGATTCCATATGCAACTAGTTATTATAAATACACACACCTTCTTTTTCTCAAAAAGAAAGAAAACACACACCGTCTTATTTTAACAACGTCCACTTCGTAATTTCATACCCTATCGTCGAACGATAAAAATGGTACCGGCCACTGAAACCTATGACTATGATGTCTTCTTCAACTACCGAGGGGAGCAATTAGGATACGGCTTTATTGGTCATCTCACTGATGCTTTTGAGAGGGATGGAATCACCTTCTTCGTAGACAAATACGAGCAAAGAGGCAAGGATCTCAAGAATCTTTTTGTAAGAATCAAAGAGTCGAGGATCGCTCTTGCCATCTTCTCTACAAGGTTAGTGTATAATTAATTTCTTTCACGCTTTTTGGTGATCTGTGACCAGTATCCATCTAGATTCAAGAATCGTAAGCAAGCATCTCTTCATTAAAGGTACCCAGAGTCAGGCTGGTGTATGGATGAGTTGGTGAAGATGAAGAAACTAGCGGATAAAGGAAAGATCCAAGTCATTCCAATCTTTTACAAGGTGAAAGCAAGTGAGGTGAGGACCAAGACGGGGGTGTTTGGTGATAACTTCTGGGAACTAGCGAAAGCTTCTAATAAGGGAGAGCAGATCAAGAAGTGGATGGAAGCTTTGGAAACTATCTCTGCCAAGATGGGTTTGTCGTTGAAAGAGAAGAGGTACTTTCAATCCACATTGGATCTTTTCAATTCCTTTCGCAGCAAACTGTGAGCGATTTTTTTTTTATGAATTACTTAATTAAGGTATAATTATATATATACTCTTATCGCAGCTCTGAAGCTGATTTTGTCAAGGAAATTGTTAAGGAGGTTAAGAGAGTTCTAGCAGCAGTTAGAGTACTGAAGGAAGAAGACACTCATTTTCAGAGAAAAAGGAGAAGGGATTATAATCGCCCATGCAAGCTTCCCGATCTCAAAAGGACCAAAACAGAAGAAGTTGGGACCTAATTAAATATCTGTAATTTTCATGCTAGATTCTTCTCTTCTTTTAGTTGTCTGAGCGTTTTTCTTAATAAAGTAAAATGTTTCGCCGCAAAATTGTTGTTTTTGTAAATATCTGTAATTAAATATCTACTAGACCTTGACCCGTGCGATCACACGGATATTAATTTTATCTTTTTAATTTTTATATTAAATGAATTTTTTGTAAAAATCAATTCTATTACATTAAGTTTTTTTTGTGCGTGTTAACAATTTATTGTATCAAAAATATTGGATATCATACAAACAAATCTAACATGTAGACGATATATTGAAATTTGTAAAATAAAAAACGAAGTATCAATTAAATGGTTACAAATTACTTATGGGTTTAATTTTGAGAGAAGAATACCGAAAAGTTTGTTGTTTGATCCGCGCAAGTGTTTGTTTTTATATATTTTATAAGTGATAATATATATTTCTAAATTTACCCGTTTAAATAATTGGTTAAAACGACATTTTAAACACACAATTTTATAGTTTATATTGAGTAATTTTATAAACTATCATTGTGTCATACTTATTTTAAAAATATGACCCGTATATCTGCACAAATGTTTTTTTTTATGGATCAAAATTTTATGATAATGTATAACTAAATTGTTGTATCTACTATTTAAAATATATGGTCCTATATATTTCTACTTTTTAACTTTTATTATTCTGAATTTACCTTGAACTATTATTTATATAAAAATATACATAACATAATATGTTTATATTAATCTATGTATTATATATTATAAAAATATTTCTTTTTGTGACTTTTATTTTAGTTATTACTTATAAATAATAAAATATAATTATATATCTTTGAAAACAATATTGTTCATTAACTATTTAAAGATATGTAGATAATTAATAAGAAAAAAAATCCTAAAAGGTAGATTAATTAATATTGAAATTAGTTATTATGTATATGAAATTAGTAAAACAATTTCTATATAATTTATTATTTAATTACGAAAGGTATATATGAAAATAATTATTTTAATTAATTATTGTTGTTTAAAATTTGATTTTGGAAATGTATTAATTAAAGTGAAAAGACAAATAATCTTGTAAGATATGGTAATTAATAACTTCAGTGGCATTCCATTATAAATAACACTGAACATTAAGGGGCATTTCAATAGGGTACTTCTATTTTAATAATAGAGATAACTTTTCCTTCTAGAATCTTCTCTTTTTTTGGCAACTTCTAGAATCTTCTCTTCCTTTAGTTTTGTGAGTGTTTTTTCTTAATAAAGCGACTTCTCAGCACAGTTTGTAAACTATTACATGTACGGACGTAATTAAGAATCCTACCCAGTTAATCCAGTACCCTCTTCTATGTTTACCGACCACCACGACCATAGTTTTTAACTACCTTCTTCTACGTTTACCAACTACCACCAGATTTTTTAACTACCACCACCGTAATATTTAATTTACTAACCAAATTTGTATTCTTTGCTATATCACTTCACTTAGATTTACCCTTACTTCATTCATATAAACCACCACCTCTTCTTCCTCCTCCTCCATAACCATTGTGCTTTCGTAATCACCATGATTTCCTCCATAATTACATCCATCATTCGACCACTAGCAGGGTAGACTCTACCACGACGACAACCACCATATTTATAACTTCTGCTATATCTTTTGTATCAATCAACCACCGCAGATTCCTTTTAACCACCACCACTGCAACTTTTTAAATTTTGTTTATACTATTTTACATTTTGGACATGCATACTAATATACTATAGTACTTTTAACCATTTGATAATTTTTTATAATATTTACTATATCATTTAGTTTGTTCCATTCTATTTATATTATATATCATTCGCAAACTCTTGTAAGATGAATGAGCTATCGATAATTTTGTTTTCACGTTGTTTAATATTCTAATAGATATATCTATTCTATTAAAATAGAGTAATTCTTATTTATCTACTGATATAAGTTATCATTTGAGTGTTACAAATAATACAAGTTATATAGTTTATTGAACCGCATTACTTAAATTAAACCGGCGGTTATTTATGAAATAGAGTTTTGGGCCTACTTTTGTTTTTATAACATTTAATTGTTTGGTTTTTGGGCTTAGTATTAAAGAAAAACTCTAAACAACATTAAATAAACTTTCCACCTTAGTGGTTCAAAAATCAATTACTATTTTCAGGCCCAAAAATATTTAATATTTTCAACAAAACAAAATTATCTATTATTAATCACTTATTTAAATCATGTACTTTAAAACATGTTAATATTTTTTAGCCCAAAAATATTTAGTATTTTCAACAAAACAAAATTATCTATTATTAATCACTTATTTAAATCATGTACTTTAAAACATGTTAATATTTTTTATTTTAAATAACAATCACTCTATCTTGATAAAATTTAATGGTAACTTTTAAATAATTTATTGTTTTATTTTTCTTAAATAATTTACAGATTTAAAAAAATGAAAAGTAAAACCAAAAGCCAAATCTAAAAACTAAAATCCAAAACCAAAAGCTGAAAACGCGGGTTATATTTTTTATTTTTATTTTTATTTACAAAATAAACTATTTAAAAATTTTAGAAAATTATTTTTGTCATCTTTTCAGTTTTAAATTACATGTTCGATTAACTGAGATTTGTTTGTTGGTAATATCAGTTCAAACTACCTCAGCGGGTCTAAAAATTAAAAACCCAAACCAAAAGCTGAAAATCAAAAATAGAAACTTAAAAACTAAAAACCAAAAACCAAAATTTAAAACAAAATCTAAAAATAAAAACTGAAACTAAAACCTAATGAAAAACAACTATCACCACAAATTTTGGTAAACTAATTTTATACCAAAACCTTCTTTAAATTAAGACAAAATCCAATTATATAAATTTTAAATCATAAAAAATTTCCACGCTTTTCAAGCGCGGATCAAAATCTAGTATGACTACTAATTCTTAGAAGTCGGCCAAGTGAACAAAATTGACTTTATACTATACTTTTATATTTGATACTTTCATTAATATAGACCGTACTATATTTAATATATATGTTCTACTCCATTTATATTTCTAAGGATGAACAATCTGAACTGGTTAATTCAGTTTAAATATATTGTTCCCATTTAAAAGAGATTTATATTTTGTGTTTATTTGATTGAGATCCTTTCAACTTGCATGTTTCTGTTGCAAAAGAGGAGAGAACCATTGTTTTTTTTTTTTGTTGTAATATCTTCTATGAAGAAGATATAACCTTTGGTCATTACTTCTTTTGATAGTGAGTCAGTTCGAATATTTTTTGGAGTAGAAATATGAATGAGGTTCACCTCCTCCAAATCTTCATGTTGTCTCTGAAAAATCTTATTTTTATGCGAATGCTGACCAGTCCATCATATTCGTTGTCATGTCCACCAGGTTTAAACAGCCCGTTTCAATATGTATGGATCAAGGTTATATTTTCATGTATCTCATCCATGAAATTGCCCAGAATAAGTCTTTCATCTCAACATATAAGATTGAGAGGCTTCTATCGCATGTCCGTAATCCAAAAGATTCAATATCCATTTGATCCTTAAGATTCTATACTAAATCATTGACATCAATTTGGCAGGGGCACAATGTCCAAACCTTATCATCAAATGTCATATATAATCATGTGAAGTTTATTGTTTCAATCACACAATGAGATTCAAAGATTATAAGAAAACACAATTCTTATTAGCTTGAGAAACTGACTCAAAACTCAAACTCTCACAAAGTAAATCTCTAAATCTCACACATAATGCAAACACGCTTGCATATGTTTATATAGAGATAAGCATAACTCAAACCGACTTAATAAAACCTATTTAGATAACTACAAACTCAAGTCCATCTCCTAATTGGAGTAGTCTTTAGTTTGCTTAGAATCCAAGCTAACTTTAAAATTATCTTCAAGATTATCTTCAACATTCACCCTTTAATCTTGAAGTGAGTGTTCTTCACATCTTGAACTCCCACAAGGTCTCTCATCTCCTTGAGTTTGATTCTTCCCAAAGCTTTTGTAAACATATATGCCTTCTGCAATGTCCCTGCAATGTGCTCTACTTCAATCTGATCATTGTCAACACACTCTCTTATAAAATGCTACCTCTTGTGAATATGTTTACTCCGTCCATGAAACACCGGGTTTTTAGTGAGAGCTATTGCTGATTTATTATCCAACGTTACTGTCACCTTCTTACTTGGCTTCTCAAATATCTCAGCAAGAATTTCCTTTAACCAGATAGCCTGTTTTGCAGCTTCAGTAGCTGCCATAAACTCGGCTTCACACGAGCTTAAGGCAACAGTTTCTTGTTTCTGCGAGCACCACGTGATCAAACAATGGTTTAGATAAAAACAGTGACCAGTTGTGCTTCTTCCATCATCAGCATCCACATTATGAGAGCTGTCCGAGTAACCAACTAGCTCTGTGTTTCTTGTCTTCAAGAATGTTAGACCATATGTGACTGTTCCTCTTAGATATCTCAGAATTTGCTTCAGTGCAGTGTTGTGACTTTCTCTAGGTTCATGCATATATCTGCTCAACACACCCACTGAATAGGACATGTCTGGTCGCGTATGAAGAAGATACCGGAGGCAGCCAATAATTCTTCGATAGTCTCTCTCATCTACACTTCTCTCTTCTTGTGCTCTGGTCAACTTTAAACCTGCATCCATAGGAATTTGTACTGCATTGCATTCAGCCATACTTGTTTCCTCTAGAATCCTGTTAGCATAACCTTCTTGTTTCAGTGTAATTCCTCCATCAAACTGCACTACTTCAATTCCCAAATAATATGTAAGCAATCCAAGATCACTCATATCAAAATTTGATGACATCCCTGCCTTGAACTCGTGAATCATTTCAGTTTTTGATCCAGTGATAAGTAGATCATCAACATAAACTGCTACGAGCAACAAATTATCATCCTTTTTCTTTCGAAACAGAGAGGGTTCTTTGCTGCATTTCACGAATTCAAGTTCACCAAGTACTTTGTTCAGCTTCTCATTCCACGCACGTGGTGCCTGTTTTAAACCATACAAAGCCTTCTTTAACCTATACACTTTTTTTTCACTGCCCTTGACAACAAAACCTTTTGGTTGCG